ATATTATGAAGACTGACTTCCTACCCATGAAAAAAGGAGGTACTTTTATAAATGGTGTTGAGGGGCCGGGGAGATAGCGCAGTAGAATAAGCGCTTGCCTGGGAAGAGTAAGGGCCTGTGTTCAATCCCTGGTTCCGCGAAGAAATAAAATAAAAATAAATAAATGGTGTTGAGCTACTAGCTATTTAACCAGAGATAACTTTAAATTCCATTCTCTGCCATGCAGAAAAATAAATCACTAATGGAATTTTATTTTATTTTATTTTTTGGTGGGGAAGTCACTCACTATGTAGTTCAGGATGGCCTTGAATTTATTATGTAGCCCAGGTTGGCCTCAAACTCATGGCGATCCTCCTGCCTCAGCTTCCCGAGGGATGGAATGACAGGTGTGTACCACCACAGCGGGCTTTACTAATGGAATTTTATTTTATTTTGTTTATTTATTTTGTGGTACTGGGGAGTGAACTCAGGACCCTGCACTTGCCAGGCAGGTGCTTATTCTACTGGGCTATCTCCCCAGCCACTAATGGAATTTTAAAAGCTAAATGGAACAGCAAAGCCACAAGAGTATTAGAAGAAGATACGGGGCCCAAGTCCTCCCAGGAGCTTTCCCTTCACAAGCATCTTCACAAGCACTTGGGAGCCTGAGAGCACACAAGACTCATACCTGTCTCCTCAGCATCTACCCGCGGGCTCACAGTAAGAGCTCAACATGCTTGTTAGGTCCACATATGTGGCTACATAAAAATTAGTAGGGCCGGGGAGATGGCTCAGTGGAATAAGTGCTTCCCTGGTAAGCACAAGGGCCTGAGTTCAATCCCCGGTTCCGCAAAAAAAAAAAAAAAAAAAAAAATTAGTAAGTCTACAGCAGGAGACATAATAAAAAGAAATTGAGAGACAAATGATGGCCTGGGGAAAATTGTTAGGGTAAATCCCACATTAGAGAGTCAAAAACAACTGGGTATCAGCAACTTCATGTGATTTAACCTAAGAGCCAATATTTTTAACATATACCAGATAATAGATGAATGTATCTGATGTACACAAATTTCTCACAAAACAAGACAGACCAATGACTCATTAGAAACAATGGGTAAATGAAAAAGCAGATCATAAAAAGGAATAAGTGAAAATCCAAGAAAATGATGCAGCCAACCATGGTGGTGCACACCTACAATCCCAGCACTCTGGGAGGCCAAAGCAGAAGGATCACAAATTTGAGCGCAGCCTGACAGCTCAGTGTCTTAGAGAGGTCCCTGTCTCAAAATAAAATGTTTAAAAGGCTGACAATGTAGTTCAGTGCAAAGGTCCTGAATTCAGTCTCCAACATATATATGCACATACATGAACGAATAAAGAAAGAAAAAGAAATAAGAGATGATATATAACCTCACTACACAAGAGGAAATAAAAGCTGAAACACAAACCAGTTTATTTGCTAGGGCTGGTGAAACCCAACTAGACAGAGATTCAGTTTTCTAAGGACAGGAGGAAAAGCACATGCGCACTCTCGTGCTCACAGCACTTACTGGTGTAAACTTCTGGAGCGTAAAGTTGCAGACTCTCTTCAGTACAGCAGTCTCTTGCCTAGGACCCTGTCGGTGTAATGTGGACTTTAACGCAGACACAGGAGAAAAGCTGAACGAGGATATTTCATTGTAATGACATCTGTAATAACTACAAACTGCAACACCTTAAATGTTCCTCTGTAGAAGAAGAGCTAAGTAAACTGAAGAAAAGCGTCGGTGTGAACACAGTAAAACTGTCAAGAGTTTTCAAGTAACCTATGTATCTAGAAGGCACGCCTGGGATGCAATTTTTAAATAAGAACAAGTACGATAAAGATAGGTCAGGACAGTTCAATTCCATTTTTCTGGACACAACAAAGAAAATTCTGTCCACACACAAAAACCAGGCAGCAAGGTTAGCAGCATTTGTCTAGGGCAGGCATGGGTGTGGATGTGTGGGGAGATTTCCATGTGGTTTTACTTTTTTAAAGAAAATGCATCTCTAGGGCTGGGGCTGTAGCTCAGCAGCACAGCACCTCCTGGCAAGTGCGAGGTCCTGAATTCAATTCCCAGAACCAAACAACAACAAGAAAGCAAGAAAAAGAAAATGCACCTCGGCCACAACGGCTGTTTAAAGTAAGGAGGAAAAGACGTGCTGCCTACTGTGGAGCAGAGAAGGCTGCAGGGGAGGTGCCGGATGCGCAGGCACGAGGATCTGAGTGAGACTACACGTCCTCATGAGAACAGGCGTGGAGGTAGGATCTGGATTCGAGTTTCAGAAGCTCAGTCCACTGCTGACCCTGAATTACCCACATGGAAAATGTCATCTCTACTTTATTTTTATTTTTATTTTTTTCAATCAGTAAGCATTTCTTTTATTGCTCAAAAAGTGAATGAATTCATCTCTACTTTAAAGAGATATTGAAGGGACCAGCGAGTTAGCTCAGCAGACTAAAACGCCTGCTTAGGCAAGCTTAGAGACTGTGGTTTGATCCCCGTCACCTCACGCTGTGCCAGCCTGGCCCCTAGGGTGGGCTGAACTGACAGAGTCTGAGCATTGTGACAAACGCCTGTAATCGCAGCTCTGGGGAGGCTGAAAGCAGGAGGGACACCATGAGTCTGAGCTGTGTAGTGAGATCCTACAACCAAATACCTCAAAAAAAAAAAAAAAAAATTGGATTCTGCTAAATAAAATTAGGTTGATTGAAGTACTTTATAAGTAGTAAAATGATTTGAAAATCAGAGTGCCATTACTGCTTAGCATGTCAAGGCCTTTGGTTGAAAACCAGAAAAACAGGGGCTAATGCTATGAACTTCTCAGGGAAAGAGATAGATGAGAACAGATGGATTCAAAGAGCTCTCAACCAGCTACACAACATGTGGCTCTGACTGGGCTCTTATTCAAACTGTTGAATGAATGTTTAAGAACTAGGAAAATCTGAATACTGACTGCACATTCGATTATGTTACAGAGCTATAATTACTTTTCAGACGTGATCACTGCATTCTGGTTGTGTGTTTCTTAGAATACCTCATCACCCAGGGATACACATGGAAACATTACAACCAAAACGATGTGATGCTGGATACTGAGATTTCTTCCAGAATAATTCATAAGGATGAGTGATAAGAGAACGGTTGGAGGGGCACATGAAAGGTGACTGACCACTGATGCTGGATAACAGGCATAAGGAGGTGTATGGTATCAATTTTCTATTTTCACATATGTCTGAAGTTTAGTATAATTAAAGTTCTCATGAAAGATGAATGGGCCTGTGCTCCTGGCTGAGGAGGCCTGGGAGCCTGTGCATGAGGCCTGCTGCAGCTCGGACCATGGGACTGCGTGGCAGGATCCACCACGCGTGGGGCTCAGGAGGCAGGCAGATCTAGCACGGAAAGGCACCAAGGGGCTGAGGGAGAAACAAGAGAGGTACATACGGAGCAAAGGAAAGCTGGCTGCAAAATATGAATAGCAACAGTCGGAGCGACAGATGCTGGGGGGGCTTGCTCATGGGCAGCACTGTCCCCTCCTGGGATACCAGTGTATACACTTCAGATTGATCCATGATTCACACATTCCTAGGCTCAACTTTCACTGCTACCTTTTTTGATGCTAGCCCCTACAGCAGCCAGGACTAGGGGGACAAGCCACCATGCATGGCTCACAGCCTTTCACCACCCTTCAGAAAAGAGGAAGAGGATGGCTGCTATTGTAAGAAGTACAAACAGTAACAGACAGCTCTTATAAAATTGAACAGCAGACTTAAGCTGCCCCTAAAAGCTGGTTGCGTGCGTGTGCGCATGTGTAAAGTGTGCACTGGAAATGGGAAGGCCTCTAGCCAAGCTTTCCTTGTCTGTTCCTGGAGGCAAACTTAACCAGCTTTCCTTGCTGCTTAGGGTCACCAGATGGGGGGTATGGAGGGATGACCTCCCACCTTTATTCCCAGGTCTGCACTGGCTGCTGCTACTCACAAAACGAGGGCCCACATTTGGTTGCCTTTACTTTTTGAGTCTGCCGCACAAAAGACCAAAGCACCATCCTGTGCATTCTGTCAGAAAGCCCAAGCAGGAGGAGGCCCTTATTCCCCAAGCCCCAGCAGCCCAGCACACCCAGAGGGTGAAAAAAAGGTTCTGGTCCCAGCCCTGCTGCAGGAGAGGCCGCAGTAGGGGGGAGGTAGGAGTCCTGTCACTCCTCTGTGAAATGCAGACCTGCTCAGGCTTCTTGGCTGGAGGCCGGATCAGAGAGCCTCTCCCTGACCAGGGTACAAAGCCCTGGACCATGACAGATGGATTTTCCTGTGGAGCTTGAGGTTCACAGATTAAAGAAACCAAAGAGGAAGAGAGGACTCTCAACTTCATGACTCAGCTTAAGGTCATGCTGGAGGAGGAAATCTCTGCCACTACCATGAAGTTAAACACTCTTCCATGTGAGAAAACCCAGTGGGTGACAGGTGGGGGGGACCAGGGATCCAAAGTGCACCCGGACCCTCCCTTCACCCCTGGGGTTACAGCCTCTCCTCTATCTTATTTACATTTATTTTTGGAGGCAGGTTCTCACTGGGTTGTCCAGGCTGGCCTCAGAACCCAGCAATCCCCCATCTCAGCCTCTCTCCTCCTCTACAGTCCACAGCCTGCTTCCAAGGTTGAGGCCTGGGGCACAGCCTCTGCTGCCAGTGTTCATGGATGGAACCTTGCTTGTGCCCAAAACAAGTGCAAGATAATCCTGAAATAACTTCAGATAAGCCATCCGCCATCTGTCTGTGGCAGAATGCAAGTGCAGCACCTGGGTCGTGCTCACGAGGCAGGGTCTCTAGGTGAGATCTGACCACCCCAAGAGCAGCTCCAGGCTGCCACCACTATGTGTGCCAAGGCTGCAAGCTGCCCTGTTTCCAGCAAGACAGCCCCCCTGGCTGCACTCTTGGGGCAAACAGACAAATGGATGGCAAGTAAGGAAGGGCAATAGCTGTTTAGCTTGGTATGCATGCTTCTTACCCACATATTCTGAGAGGAAGACGACAAAGAACGGAGTGACCAGGTCATTAATTCCCTGGACGTACCCACTGGCAGGGTGGCGGATGGCCCAGATAAACAGAATTCTTTCAAAGATCTAGGAAAATAAGAAAGGAGGAAAGAAGACACAAGTGTTAAGTCATGGGGACACACGCCCTCCCTCCACTTACCTACTTCACAATTTATTCCTGGGTTGGTGTAGAAGTTTGGGGGAAATGTTAAAACACTGGAACAGAGGAAAGATATAAATACACAGAGTCCCTCCCAAGCACTAGTTGTTCTGTACATTTCTTGCCACTCATTTATCTTTGCAATATCTGGTTACTGCAACACAGTGACTTGGCCACTATCAACCCTGCATGCTCGCTTGTGTGCTGGCTGCCTCTGTTCCCAGACAAGGGCACTGGAGCGCCTCGTTCTGGACGTTTCTCTTAAACCTTTTCTGCTCATGGCAACAGCCTTATCTACCATCCTCTCCTCTCTTCCTTGTGAGAAGAAAGGAAACCTTGATTCAGGTCTCCCCCAGCCTGACAGGAACATGTGACAGAACGACACTGAAGCCCCCAGGTACAGCATGGACATCTGCAGGGTACAGGAACCCAATGAAACCAAACTCTGCTGCTTCGCACACTGGGCAGTTGAGAGACAGAAATCACCACAGCTACTAGGGAAAGACTCTGGGATTAAGCTCATTAATCACTAGAATCCAGAGTCCTAGGTAGGGACAAAGAACAGATCTTCACAGTCCCTTAGCAGAGTCTGGCCCCTTCTGCTTTTTTTTTTTTTCTTTTTGAGACAGGGTCTCAATATGCAATTCAGGTTGGTTTTGTGCTCACTTTATAGCCCAAACTGGTCCCAAACTCACAACAATCCTCCTGCCTCAGTCTCCTGAGTCCCGGGATTACAGGTGTGTGCCCACACACCTGGAAACCCCTCTGTTTTCATCAGAACTCTGAACTCCTCCCCAGTCTCTCAATCTGAGGATACCCACTGCACAGCTTCATCCCAGCCCCTTGGCCCCTTGGCCTGACGAGAAGGATAGTCTGCTCAGCTGTCTCACCTCCGTGAAGCACCCCAGAGGGATAAAGAGCAGAGGGCAATGCGTGTCAGAGATAGGAGAATATGGCCCCCTGTGCTCTACGGTCAGGTAAAGAGGCTCCTGAGCAGGCAGGGTCTCCAGAGAGACCGAGAGAAAGCCAGTGGCTTATATGGATCAGAAGTGGCTACGCAGTGCAGGGAAGGTGTGAACAGCTGCACATAGGCCAGCCTGCTTCAGGTCCCCGCAAAGCTGGCTGAGGCTGCAGTCAGCACAGTCCAAAAACCCCTCTGCTGGAGGTGAGGATCAGGCCCTTCTGCCGCCCTGGGTTCAACGCTCATGTTGGGGGGGGGGGGTCCCTTGCGCTCTTACACACTTCCCTATTGCTAAACAGCCTCTCCCCATTCCTTGAAAATGTGCAGGCCAGAGCCGCCCACTGCTCTCTGGACATCTCAGCACCCCTTCGCTGCTGCCTCTCAAGGCTGGTGTCTGTCTGGACGCTCATCAGAGCCCCCCAGGGGCTGGGATGTGGCTATAGGTTCAGCAAGGGACTAAGTGTCTAGCATATGCAAGGGCCTGGGTTCCAGCCCAGCATGACAAAAACAAACAAACAAGCAAACAAACCACCCCTCCTCCAGGGCAGTCTCTCTGCAAAGGACTTAAACGTTCAGGCCACACTGATGCTGACAGCCCCTTGTAAACACACAGAGCTCTGGGGACCAGCACTGGTGCCCTGCGTACAGGGATTCTGGCTGCTTGACCAGAACCCAGTGTGAGCTGGGAGGTTGCAGGGTCAAGGAATCCTGGGGAACCCTCCCTGCAGGAGCAATGGAAAAAACAGACCTTAGGGCTGGTGGGATGGCTCAGTGGTCTAAAGCACGTACTTAGAACAAGCTAAGCAAAGCAAAGCACAGGGACCACAGTTCAATCCCCCAGCACCACATGCCAGCCAGCCCCGCCCCCTGGTGGGCTGAACTAGCCACACACTAAATAAATAAATAAACAAACAAACAGACCTTAAAAGTTTGCCTTTACACTGAACTACAGCCTCAGACCTTTTTATTTATATATTTATTTATTTATCTTTATGAACAATTTGAGACAGCCTCACTAAACTGCTAAGTTTCCCAGGCTAGGGTGGAAATTGTAAGCCTCCTGATTCAGCCTCCAGGAGTGCTGGGACACAGGTGGTTAGTTCTTTGCTCCTTCACTGCCGTTTTTATTTTATTGTATTGTATTTTAGGTTTTTTTGTTTTGTTTTGGTTTTTTCCCTGTATTTATGGCAGGGTCTACAGTATGTTCAGGGTCTCACTACGTAGACTGGACTCATAGGGATTCTCCTGTTTACAGCCTCACAAGTGCTCGGATTACAGGCACAGGCCACCACACCCAGTCTCAACTGCTGTCTCAATGCGCCCTGGGGCTGGGGCCAGCACAGCAGGCACAGGGATCAGACCCCTGGCCCCTGCGTCTACCTAAGCAGGCACTTTAATCCTCTGAGCTATTTGGCCGGCCCTTACACTGCCGTTTTTATTCTCCTTAAGATGACTACAGCTTGCTACATGACACAGTGCTTGAACAAAACCTGGAAAGAATCAAAGTGGACCTCTATGTGTAGATCCAGGTCCCACCCCTAGGAGAAGCCTCTTAGACAAACTGCTAAGGGCAAGGCTGAGCGCCACCGAGCACTAGCAGGTTCTCATGAGGGCTAAGTATGCTGAACCTTCAGAAATTGAATGGCACAAAGAGAAGGGTCCCAGAGGCATTTGAAGCCTTCCAGGAGCTGAATTTTATAGGTAAAATAATGGTGCCACCTCAAAATCTTCCTTATGGTACTGGTAAATCAGGAGGGACCCCCCCCCCAGCGTGGACATCTATATTAAACAGAATTATGAATACCACTCAAGACCAAGTAGCAATGTCTTCGAGCATTTTACTACCATCCCTTTCCACTATGGGGAGACCTGAAAGCTCACTTGGAAAAGCGTTAAAACTCAGCACTGCCTGCCAACTGAGGCCTGCAGAGCAAAGCCCTGATCTCATGGAGTTTGTAATAACAGCTCAGGGGAAAAGACACGAGAAACCCTTGTATAGCATTAATTGGTTAGGTCTCAAAATATAGGTACTTAAAAATATATATACTGATTTCATTGTTTCATTGTTTATTTGTTTTTTGAGACAGGGACTTCCTACATAGTTCAGATTGGCTCTGTAGCCCAGGCTGGCCTTGAACTCATGGTGATCCTACTGCTCAACCTCCCAAGTGCTAGAACTAGAGGTGTGCACACACCTGGCTATGCATATTTCACCACACTTTATTTTTTTCTTCTTTCTTCTTTTTTCTTTTTCTTTCTTTCTTTAATCAAAATCAATCCTTCCAGGTTGGTAAATTAGAGAACACTCAGGAGTAGGAATTCTAAGGTGTTATCAGGTAGCTTCAACATACCTCACAGGTTCCTAGCCTCCCCGAGTGTGCTGGGTACTGGGTCTGTTCTGAAGATCAAATGGGGATGATGGGAGGTGCCCTGGGCCAGGACCACTGTGACATGGGCCACTGGTTCAGGGAGAAGCGGCAGAGAAGAATAAACAATTTCTCACCTCCTGTACGAGCGGCTGCTGGAACAGCGGAATGAGAGGATTCGTCCTTGGAATGTCAATATGAATCTGAAAAGAAAGACCACATCCAAAACAAAAATGCTGGTGTGTTTTTTAGACAAATTATTTACTTAAGCACTGGAAATCAAGGGAGTGAAAGTTAGAACACAATTTATCTTTAGAAAGAACGGACACAGTACCCTGCCTGTTTCCATGAGAGCCATTCTCCACAGCGAGGGGGCCACTTGCAGCAACAGCTCCCTGTGGTCTGGGCCTCTGCAGGCTGCTTCCTGACCAACACCATTCAAGCATGAGCCCCTCCTTCCCATGCTACCCAGCGGCACTCTCAAGATGGAGGAGCCTGGCAGCTCCACAGCCGTGCCAGGATGGGGACCCACAGGCCTGCTCATGCAGCAGGATGTGTAGAAATGGAGAGGGCCAAAGGATCCAATGTCACCGCACCTGGCTCAGGTCAGGGCCTTCCCAATACCCAGCTGAGTCATCCTACTGCCAGTGGCAGCAGAGGCTACTGCAGTTCCGGCTGGCTGGAGACAGGAGAGAGGTGCCTGCAGCCCGCCCCCTGCCCTGGCCTCCTCTGCTCCCTGCACACAGACGCCACCAGCAGGCTGTGAGTGCTCTGAGCCGTGGAGGCCCTGCATTCTTCTGTGGTCTGGTGTGGGGGTGTCACAGTCCTAGGGGACTGGTCTGGATGGCGAGGTCTGAGAAGCACCGCCCCTGACCAGTGCACAAATCTCTCCCATCTAAAATGCCTGAGAGGGGGCGGGGAAATGGCTTCGTAGAATAAGCGCTTGCCTGGCAAGCACAAGGGCCTGAGTTCAAAACCCTGGTTCCACAAAAAAATAAAATAAAATGGCTGAGACCAGCGCTGCTGGAGGCAAGAAGGGGAGGAGTCCTGGAAATGAGCTGGATGCACAGCCTGAAGAGCTGCTAAACCTCTATGTGGGGTGCCACCAGGAGAGCCCTCACCCAGTGCCTGACAAGCAGAGCTAGCAAGGGCTGTACCTGTCTATAGGTGTCCTGGTGATGCTCCTCATTTCGAGAGTCATAATACTGCTCGATGAAGCCAAAATATTCCTCCCGCTTCCGCTGCAGGGTCAGCTTCCGCCTCTCAGTGTTCGCTGGGAGGTAGCCCTACAGACAAGATTGCCATCAGCTGGGGACAGATTCTGGCAGGTGAGTCCTTAAACCTTATTTTAGCCTGAGCAGTGCCTTAGAAAATATGAAAGGAGCAGAGGGAAAGCTGCCAAGAGGACTGTGAATCTCACGCAGTTTGTCCTTTCCTCATTCAGTGCCATCCACAGAGGGCAGAGGATGCCAGGTGACTCGCTAAGGCCAGGTGCACCTAGCAGCTCCACACAGCTCCTCTATGGTGGGTGGATGCAACCAGTGGGAGAGGCCTGGACCGCAATCACAGACTCTGTGGTGCAGAAAATCCAGCCGCCCAAGAGGGTCACTATCGGGCTGCACAATTATAAAGTGGGTTGTGGGTTCTGGTCACCTGGCTATTCCTCCTGAGAAAGGAGTGCTGCTTGGGGAGTACTAGGGTCATCCTGTCTTGCTCTGTTCTGCCTCCTCACTGTTAAGAAGGCCGAGACCATGACCACAGGAGCAGGAACAGGAATGTCCACCCACCCTGCCCATGCCAGCATGACCAGCAAGGTGTATGCAGAGCGGCACTGCAGGCCAGCTGCCAGGTGCTGCAGGACAAGGCAGGCTGTGGGAGGAGAGGCCCGGCGAGCAGGACTCACCGACAGGAGTCTCCAGGTCACAGGCCGGACCTCCCTGGGAACGCCTGGCCAGCTGCACTTCCTCAATTCATCTGCGAACAGAAAACAGCCTGGTGGGATCAAAGGCTCCCGTGAGGGCCTTAAACAAGGCTACCGTTCACGCAACACTATGGCCACCACTGCTGCCGCCACCACCAGGCCCAGGGACAGCCCACAGCAGCCCTGAGCAGCAGAGCCCGAGCCACACCCTGCAGCAGCCACTCAGGCAGCTTGGAGATGAGCTCAAGGGGCCTGGGGTGCAGATTTGGGAAGAATTATCCCACACCAGAGACACCGAAGCCAGAGGCACTGCAGTAGGGTCTACAGAAAAGAGTCTTAGCTAATCTGGGCCCTAATCTCTAGCAACATCCTCTACCTTAATACCTGCGCATCACTGCCTAGGGCGCCCGATCAGCAGAGGCTAGAAGAGTAAAAGGGAGAATAAAGCTGCTAGCGTCCAGGCCCCTGAGACATGGAGTCACCATGAGCACCTACTGAGCCTGGGCTCACCTAAGTCGGTGTTGTGGCTGGAGAGAAGCTGGCGAAACTTTTCTAGGCGGGTTTTCTCTCGGACTGTCATGGGGGGAGCTCCGGAAGCATTCTGGTCTGAGATCCGGGCGACGAGGGGGATGATGGGCCGGAGAGGGAGTGACTGCTGCTTATGGAGTGGGTTCCTCAGGCATGTGTCACCTGACATCATTAGAAAGAGAAAGAGCAGGCTGGAGGGTGAACAGGGATCAGGAGAAGCCACCGCCCCATAGTCCCAATTCCAACCTCCCTCCACAAAGCCTCGAGTGAGCCATCTGAGGACACTGCAAGGGCCAGCGGGGTGAACCCGTCCATGACAGCTCTGGTGCTAATGCCACGCCTAGCTACTACAGTGACTTCTGAGAATGCTGGCAACGTGGCACTCGTCCCAGGCCTGCCCAGCTGCCCCAAAGCTGAGAGGCCAAGAACTCCTCACATGTCTCACCTCTCCCGTGGGGACCACAGGTCCTCACACTGCCCACCACAAGGAATAGCCTTGACTGGTGCTGCAAAGGGACGGAATCACAGGGCCAGAAGCCCTGCTGAACTCTGCAGAAAGCAGAGGGCAGGAGGAGGAGCACGTGGAGGACTGACTCACTGAGTGCCTGCCACATGCAAGGCGCCAATGGGCCACTTTACATGGGACCTCTCATCTGGACCTCATGACACAGGGTTAGATCTTAAATGTACTCCACACACGAGGAGGCTGCAGCCTGAAGAAGGGAAAGTAATTCTAAGTGATAGCTGAGATGACACCTTAGGTATGTCTGATTTCAAAACCCTTATTTGCTTTATTTCTACAAAGAAAATTCAGTTAACTGGGCTTGTTCTTTCACAATTACTTCATGTTCCACATACCTTGACCTTAAAAACTACAGCTCTGAAGAGAAATGGTGAATACGAACCAACTGGCACCACTAGAAAGGTCACAAAAATTGCCCCACAATGCTCCCTGGTCGCCTGCAGTCACCACCAGGGTCTAAAATTGCAGGCCACACCCCGCTGAGCTGGGACAGACACAAGCCTAACTCCAGCTGTGGGGGCCATGCACAGCATGCACGGTGGGGACCTCCATTGCAGGTTCTGGGGGCTACACAAAAACAAACTTCCTCCCACTGGGCACCTGTGGCTGCAGACGCCCAATCCTAGGGTGTAGGCACGTCCCACAACTAGAACTGTGGCCACGGGCTAGCGACACCAAATGTCCACCTGGGCAGGGCACCGATGGCTCAGCTGGCACCGCAATCATGAGGGAAGAGGAAGGCAGGGCGACTACAGAAGCCCTCAGCCAGATCACAGGACCACAGGCTTAGTCTGAGGCTGTTCAAGAAATTCCCTTAGAACAGGAGCCAGGACACCTCCAGGCTCTGAAGTTCAACTTCCTCTTCATCCATTATCAGCCAGCCATTTTAACTTTTGCTGGAACCACGGCATTCCTCTCTCCAGCTGAGAATAGCCCACTTTCACAAAACCCCGCAGGGCAATCTCACACAGCAAAGGAAACTTAAAACACCCAGCTGAAAATTCCCACACTTCTGACAGATCTACTACCACTTCAGCCAGTCACTGAGGCAGATTTCCTGAGGAGAGGCCTGGCCCAGCCCACCCACCCCGGCCAACCAGCATGTGGATGGCCAGGAACTGCAACTTGTGCCTTTCAGCACCTGCTGCGCCCCAGCGGTAGCAGGGGAAAAGGACTACTCCCAGTGTGACTATCCCAAGGGGCTGAGGAGGTCAGCCAGTCACACTGTCCACCTAGGAAATCCAGCCCCTGAGAGCAGTATAGGCATTTGTTGAACTCTAAGTCTGCCAGCCTCAATGTGGAACAGGACCCTACCCCAGGAGAGGCAGCAGCAGAAGAGGGGATGGCAGCAGCCCTGGATGTCAGGAGGTGTGGATCTGGCTCACAAGGAGGGCAGGACAGCCTGTGACCAGTCAGACTCACAGATGTAGGACCTCAGGCTTGAACTCGCTTTGTGCCACCCCAGGAAAGCTGACTGATCCCTAAAGGGAAATTGATTGGTTTGGAATGTGCCACTGGGAGCTGAGCTCGAGGGGCGGGGACTTACTGGCATTCCTGGAGAGCTGGGCGTCGCTGCTGGACTTCAGGACCTTGTAGCTGGCGGGGACCTCACACGATGTCGACTGGGATCTTTCTGGCTTCACTCGGAGCTTGCTGTGATTTTCTAGGACTTGGGCTGCAGTTGCCAAAGCAACTTTTGAGTTCAGAGTTTGGAAAGAAGGTGAGGAAAAGTCCTCCTCTTCGTCATCGCCAATGTCCCAAGCATCGCTGGTGTTCCGGGCAAACTCGTGAAAACTGGAAGCCTTCTTGTTCTTCAGAGGAACTGTGTTCACTTTGGACCGTTCTTTAATGAAGCTTCAAGAAAGGAGAAACCAAGATGCAGGACTGCCGGGCACAGCCTGCAACGCTGAGCGCAACACAAGCCCATGCGAGGTCCTCACACAGCACCACTCGTCTAGATGCACCCAGAACATGGCACCCAGACGCAGAGGGGGCGCAGACCATGCACTCACAGCCCCTTTGCCTGGGCATCTGGGCCGGGGCCAGGAAGGGGCTCCAGGAAGAAATGGGTGTGGCTTCTCTCCAGGAACAATTTCTGTGGTGCTGACTGACAAGGGACAGCGGGGAACAGGGCCCAGCAGTACCTACTCCATCCATTTAGGACACAAAGCACAAGAAAGAATAAACCTTTGTTGTGTGAACCGCTGAGATTTCAGAGTAAAACCTAATATGGCAACATCACCTCAAGTAGCCCTTACAGGCGCTACAAGCCATTGAGAAAAACAGATAATTTCAGGTGGTTCACATATGTGGATTTAAGTGCCAAAGGAAACATATTTCTTTTTTTTTTCCCCCCTTTTTTCTTTTTTTCCAGTACTAGGAGTTGAGCCCAGGGGTGCTCTACCAATGAGCTACAACCCGAGCCCTTTCTATTTTGTATTTTGGAACATGGTCTTGCTAAATGGCCTGGCTAGCCTTGAATTTGCAATCCTCCTGCCTCAGCCTCCAGAGAAGCTGGGATTACAAGCATACACCCTGTTTCTGGCTAAAACTTTCCTTTTAAAAATGATGTTAAACCCTCTAGTAGGGTTGGAGAGATAGCCTGATGGCCTAAGCATCCTTGGCAAGTACAAGATCCAAGTTTCATCCCTGGTACTGCATGGCATGCCAGCCCCGGAACTGGGTGTGGTGGCGCATGCTGGTAATCCCAGTGCCATGGAGGTGGGACAGGAGGATCACTAGGAGTCTACACTGCGTAGCGAGACCATGTATCAAAAAAAAAAAAAAAAAGTCTTCTGATAGCCTAATAGTGAGTTTGGTGCTACTCTGCCTTTATTTATTTTTTAAATCTATTTTTAAAACTCTACATTTGTTTTTTTAAAAAAGGGCAGATTCAGGATCAAGGTATTTGCAAGCAATAAGAGCTAGCTTCAAAAAAATAAAATAAAATAAAATAAAATAAAATAAAATAAAATAAATGGGGGCCGGGGAAATGGCTCAGTAGAATAAGCACTTGACTGGCAATCGCAAGGATCTGAGTTCAATCCCTGGTTCCGCAAAAAATAAATAAATAAATTAATTAATTAATTAATAATAATGATAAAAAGAGCTAGCTTAAGGGCAACTCACTAAGGTTTCCTCTGTCCCTCTCTCAGATAGAAGCTTTCTGTCCCCCAATAAGTAACTCCTCTTAAAAAAAAAAAAAAAATAGCTTAAAATTTAGTAAGATTGTTTTTCACTGTGTTTATTTTTAAGATTACTTTCTATTTATGACAAATGATACTGATGTTCTATTTAGATAAGTGATAGGCTTACTTTCGTTTTCAAATTAAGTTTTTTGGGCCAGGCCTAGCAGCACACGGAGGCTACGGCAGGAGACCTGCTGCGTGTTCAGGCTAGCACAGGTTACAAAGGGAGCTCAAGGCCAGCCTGAACTACATAGTGAGATCCTGTCCAAACAAAAAAAAGTAACCACTCTTATTTTGGTTAGACACTGAAAACAAAGTAGACATCTAGAAATTAGAGGGGCTGGAGAGATAGCTCAGTTGAATAAGTGCTTGCCTGGCAAGCTCAAGGACCTGAGTTCAATCCCCAGTTCCATCAAAAAAAGAAAGCAAGAAAGAAATTAGAAATTATTACATAAATTATAGCTACCAAGAGGAATGTTATATTGCTGCTAAAAATCCTGTTCTGTTGGAGCCAGCGAGTGACTCCTGGGTCTATTCTGGAAGAGCTAAAGATAACGGGCTACAGTCTATGAAAGGCTGGCTCACAGCCTCCAACTTTGGAAACAGCCTGGGTGAGTGTCAGAGAGAAACAGAAAAGGCGCCATACACACACAAGGGAACGTAACTCAGCATAAAGAAGAATGTGTCATGTCACCTGCAAACAAATGGGTGGAACCCGAGACCCTCCTGATCAGAGAAGTAAGACAGACACAGAAAGTTATTCCTCGGGCCTGCAGGGCCGGCCCCATCCCAGGGGCGCATTGAGATGGCAACTGAGACCAAGCGTGGTTGCGCACCTGTAATCTCAGCTCTCGGGAGGCTGTACACAAGTGGATTACTACAAGTCTGATCTAGTAGTGAGACTCTGAACTAAAATACCAAAAAAAAAAAAGTTAACTACTGCATGGTTCCATGCCCATGGCCCCAGCAACTCCAGAGGCTGAGGCAGGAGGATCTGTGTCCCAGGTCGACCTGAAAGAAAGAAACAGAGGGAGGGAAAGCAAAGGATAAAGGGAAAGAAAAGATACTGTGGGCCACCACTTAGAAGCTAGGACAGGAGGATCCCCACAAGTTTCAGCTCAGCCTCTAACAGTGAGCTTAAGGCCAACCTGGATTGCATACCTGAGCGCTGTTTCAAACAAACAACCCCCTATACACATACAAAAAGAGCACACAAGCACTGGAAGCTTCAAGGACTCTTAAACCAAGAATTAAGACACTCAGTATCAGGGCTGGAGGTATGGTGAGGTGGGAGAGTGCTTGCCCTGCACATATGGCCCCTGGGTTTCAGCCCACAAACAGCAAGAACAAACCCTGAAGGAGTGAAAGAGTGGTGGGCTTAGGGGTGTTTCCTATATTTTTCTTTATATCTTTTTATGTATTTGAGTATTTCATTTTTATTGCCTCACTATGCAGTCCAGGCTGGCCTGGAACATGCAGCGGTCCTCCTGCCTCAGCTCCCAAGCAAGCAGTGGGATTCCAGGTGCACCACCACGCCTTGCTTCATATTTTTGAAGCAGATGATGGTTCCACATAACTGAAGCAGATTAAGAACAGAGGCCATGGCAGTGGCCCTGCCCAGGACCCCAGCCAGCACTCTGACAGTGCAGGAGGATGTCAAGTATGAGCTTGGCCTGGACAGCTTAGGGAGAGAAACAGAGAGAGGGAAAGCAAAGGATAAAGACGAAAAGAGATACTCTAGTGGGCCACCACTAGAGGCAGAGAAATCTACTGCAGAGACAACAGAGAGCTCACACACGCAGGTGTAGAGAACAGCTTTCAGTCACTAGGTGCCCACCATGCGTTGACCTTTCTCAGGCCCTCTGTCCTCTCCTGCTCACAACCAAGCCAAGGAGGTCCTGGGCAGGCGGGGGTTGCTCCCATCAGACCTGCCTGCCCCATGGCAGCTTGTGCTCTCAACACCCTAGTGCAACAAAGGAGGCAGGCAGGAGCAGCTGACAGCACCCCTGGTGGGCGAGTGGGTGGGGCCCCACACATACCACCAGCAGCATACTTGCTGGAAGGGTCTGGGAAGCTGTGTGGGTGGGAAGGAGCTGCCTCTGAACCGCTGTCCCGGGATGGGGCCCTGGGAGACACATGTCTGTCCCCCTCACAGTTGCCACAAAGAGCTAAGCCATATGATGCTGGCTGCTGAGTGGGCCTTGGGGTGCTGCCAAGCAGGGATTGGGACACTAGGCTGCCTCCTTTTAACTCAGAGGTGTTAACATGTGCACAGGTCATGGAGCTAGCAGTGGTGGCAAAGGAAAGGAGACACGAGGAGTCCTGGGACTAAACTGCTCTTCTAAATGAGGCCCGGAGAAGGACATTTTCAGTGGCTGTACTAGTTAGGGACACAAAAGTTCAAGTATGTGGCCAGGTGCACACCTCTCATTGCAGCACTCTGGAAGGCCGAGGCAGAAGGATAGCAATTGGAGCCAGCCTGGGCAATGTAAGGATTCAGCAAGGCCCTGTCTCAAATAAAAAAATACTAAAAAGGGCCAGAGGTGCACCTCTGTGTACAGGCCTTGGGTTCAAGTGCGCGACTAGGAAAAAACAATCATTCCATACTTTGATAAAACAACTGTTTGTTTTTTCGGGTTTTTTTTTTTTTTTTTTTTTTTTTTTTTTTGGTGGAACCGGGGATTGAACTCAGGCCCTTGCACTTGCCAGGGAAGCGCTTATTCCACTGAGCCATCTCCCTGGGGCCCCAAAACAGCTCTTTTAAAACCAGACAAATAGCTTAGTGGATTAAAGCCCCTGCTTAGGTAGACACAGGAGCGGGGAGTTCGATCCCCTGGCCTCGCCCCTGGGGCACGCAGAGACTGTGATTGAGACTAGGCACGTGGTGGCACAGGTCTGTGATCCCAGCACTTGGGAGGCTGTATACAGGAGAATAACTGCGAGTCTGATCTATGCAGTGAGATCCTGTACACCATGTTCTAAATACAAAAAAAAAATCCAAACAACAACAAAAAAAAAACCCATCTTTTTTACTGACATGGTTGTATAACTGACTTTTTTTGAGACAGGGTCTTGCTATCTAGTTTACACTCATCTTGAACTCACTATGCACACCAGGCTAGCCTCAAACTCATGGTGATCCTCCTGCCTCAGCCCCACAGCGCTGGGATCACAGGCCTGTGCCACCTTGCCCAGCTAATGCTATTTAGTAAGTGATGGGAAGCAACTGGAGAACCTTAGCAACATTCAGATAAATCCAGTTATTTAGTAACTAGGGTGTCTTCGCGTGGAGGGGTTTTCTCACTTAGAAGTGAGCTGACCATACTTCCTACCCGTCAAGAAGCCTACCATGCCACTGCATGGCCGAGCTCGCTGCTCAGCAAGGAGACCAGTTTCAACAGAGTAAAAAAAATTACTGCAGGCGATATTCTCACTAATAGTAATAATCTGGCAAATTGAAGTCAATATACACAGCCAACAGGTGACTTACAGTACCTGTGCAGTCAGATAATTGAGGATCCACTGTCCAGGTCTGCTATGACAGGGATCAGCGGCAAGGGAATTAATGATGGCCCCATGTGGAACAAAATCATGTAGCAGAGAAAGCAATAAAAATGTCCCAACAAAGACACTAAAATAAGGGTCATAAATGCTTTACAGCCACAATCTGGAATTGTAAAATGGTCTGGTGCAGACCAAGATGTTGCCCCATGTTGTAGATCCCATAGAGCATTAAATAACCAAACCCCCTGGCATGGCAAAGAGGGAAGCAATTAACTCAGGGACAAATTCCTCCTGCAAATACTGTTGCCGCTCCACTGTAGGACAGGGAAGGGGCCCTGACCTCATTCCCAGGTGAGGAAACAAATGCTAGAGAGTTAGTTGCCTTGACTGTGTGGGACACGAGACATTCCTGAAGATGCGCCCTGAATGGGAATGTGGGCAACTGGGTTGAGGACTGGTGCAGAGGACGTGCGTGCAGGATGAGAGCCCCGGGGCTTATCACAGGTGGAGGGGCGGGGCTCCCACGGGCCCACATGTGCATCAAGTGCAACTAAAAACCATGCTAGGATGGACCATGAGTACTCAGCAACTCCTGCTTGGGCTCAGAATGCTTCTGGCTACAGGTATTTAAGCTTCTGATGCTTAAATAATAAAGACCATTGCATCGGCCACACCATTGTGTAGCACAACCTCTGGCCTGTCCCTTGCAATTATAGTAAGCTGCTGCAACTCACAGCAACTCACTTTCCTGTTACCACATTCAGAAGCAAAGCAAATTGGGAGTAGGGAGGCCACACCTATAATCCCAGCACTTGAGAGGCTGAGGTAGGAGGATCCAGAACTTGAGATCAGCCTGGACTATATGGTAAATTCAAAGCCAGCCTCAATCATTTAACAAAACGCTGTCTCAAAGAAAAAGAGAAAAAAGCGGGAAAGAGGTAATGGCTACACAACAGATACTTCCCAAAAAATAAATAAATAAAAAGACACTTCCTTACAGATTGATGAGCTGTGAATAAAAGCAAATCTTTCCTCAAGGCCTGCCTCACATGTCCTTTACGTCTCACCCACCAGAACTAATAAGGCTGCAGAGATCACCAAGGTCTATGAGAAGCAGCCAAAACCAGCCCTGTGCCTTCCTTTACCCAACACCACTCACTCAGCATCCAAGTAATATGACGGCTCCTGTGCAAGGCAGAGCAGGGCCAGGACTGTCCGGGAGGCCCAGCAATGCCTGCTGCACTGGCCAAAAGACCAGAGTCCACACTCAGCAAAACTGAGGACATGGGCTGCAGCATGGCTTGGTGTAGGAGCAATGCTTGCCCAGCACAGGGGAAGCCCTGGGCTTAACCCTGAGTGCCAGGAACAAAGCAAAAGGCCAAAGAATGCAGCACATTCTGTGAGTTAGGGTTTACATGTGAGGCATCCCCCAGAGACAGACTGGGGCCCTGCGCTGGTGTGTGCAGGGGAGGAGCTGAGGGGCTGATCTGCAGGCTTCTCATCAATGGATTCACCCACCAACTGACATGCTGCCGGCGTAGGCTGCCAACAGGCAGGGCACTTTCCTCTCCTCTATGCTCCTGGGCAGCAGGAGGTGAGACCCTTTCCTGTGCCTCTCCTTATGCCGCAGGGCTTCTGTGCTCACACAGGCTGAAGGTGGTAGAGCCAACCATGGGCTAGAAGCTCGGACACCAGGAGCCAAGGCAACTCCCTCTCCCATGAGTGCTTTTCTTAGGTATCCGGCCACAGTGACAAGCAGCCGACTAACACATCATGTAATGGCTGCACCAAACAAGTATCACAGAAAGGGGCTCCCCACCCCCTTTTTGGTTTTTTGGTGGAACTGGGAATTGAACTCAGGCCCTTGCGCTTGCCAGGGAAGCGCTTATTCTACTGAGATATCTCCCTAGCCCAAAGGGCTCCCCTTGAGAAAAGCAAACAGGAGGTTCCAACAAAGGAGCATGAAAGAGAAGCCTATTGTTTAGAAAAGGTTTTCAGTCCTTCACTCTGTAAGGGCTTCCTTGTGCCCAGTCTGTGCCACGTGCTCTTCTGGGTAGTAAGGGAAGAAGTGGTAAACGAAACACGGCGCCCTAACCAAGCAGGCTGGCACAGCCTGTAATCTCAGGCACTTGGAAGCTGAAGCCTTGCACCCAGGAGTTCAAGGCAAACCTGGGCAACACAGTAGAAACCCACCTCAACAACAAAACAAGACAAAGCACAGTCCCTGGCCCTCAAGAAACTTCCATCCTCGTGGCTTCTCACCTGAAGGCTACACATCTCACAGAAAAGAACAGTAGTCAAGCTTCCACAGTAATTCATAAGACACAAGGATCAACCTAATAGAATGAGAAAAGGATACTGCCCTCAGCTACATCACTTTAAAAAGCTGAAAACACTAAAGTGGAAGAATTAAGGTATGCTATATAGAGGTACAAGTTCCCTATGATGACTGTGATCATTATGTATGCCAAAACTACTAATACAAACTTTTAAAATAAAAATAAAAATTTTAAAAGAACAAAAAATACTAACGATGCATATTTGATCTAGCATTTTCAAAATATTCTCATGTACATTATCTTCTTATTCAGAGCAGTTTAAGGTTATAGCAGAACCAAGAGGAAGGCACAGGGATTTCCTGTATGCACCTGTCCCTGCACGAGCACAGCCTCCTCACTGAATCCCCACCACCCTTGGCACGCGCAGGCCACAGGCGACGCCCAAGATCACAAACTCTGCTGTGTTCATGTCTGGTGCTGCCTGCTAGATGGGCCTGACAGACACAGAAGGACCTGAACCCTCCATTACGGTATCCACCCTAGAGGCCCTCTCGGTACCCCAAGCCTCTGCAGGCCTTGCCTCACGTTATCTCCCAGGCCTCCTTCTCCAGACGGCACAGAGCTGGGAGTCCCACCTGCTCTGTACCCACACACTGACTGGGAAGGAGGAATGGGCAGAGGTTACCAGACAGCGCCAAGAGACCAAAACTGAGCTTGCCCTCCCAGCTCTTTCAGTGTTTGTTACCAACAACTCCCCGGCGAGATAGCTCAGTGGTCCAAAGCACCTGCTTAGGCAAAGCGCAGGGACTTCAGTTCGATCCCAGCACCACATGCCTCACCAGCCCTGCCCCCAGGGCAGGCTGAGCCAGCTACCAAAAAAAAAAAAAAAAACTTCGGGCCGGCCAGATAGCTCAGTGAACTAAAGCATCTGCTTAGGCAGAGCTCAGCAGCCACGGTTCAACCCCAGCATGCCATGCTGGCCCCACTCCTGGGGCACCCTAAGAGGGTACTAGAGACTGGGCATGCCTATAATCCCAGCGCTTGGGAGGCTGAAAGCAAGAGAATCACTATGAGTGTGATCTGGGCAGTGAGACCCTATACTAAATATATTGAAAGAAAGAGAAAACAAACAAACGGATGGACGGACAGACAGACAGCTGCCCCAAACAAGTACTGGAGATGAAACAGGCCTGAAGAACTAGACGTGCTGGTGCACACCTGGAATCTCAGCACTCAGAAGGCTGAGGCAGGAGGATCGCTGTGAGTTTGTGGCCTTCCTAGGCTACAGAGTGAGTTGCAGGCCAGCCTGAAATGCACAGCAGAGACCCTGCCTCAAGAAAAACAACAAGAAGAAAAGCACACCCAAAGAAACTCTGGGAAGGGTGCCAACCTCCACATTTAAAGTCGCAAGGGTGGAGAGATAGCCCAGGAGAGAAAGATGCGCCAAAGTGACCCCTGGGGCCAGGTGCACAGCCACACATCTTAGATCGAACCAGTGCTGCTGGTTGAAAACAACTTAGGAGAGCGTTACCAGAGAAATAGCTTCCAGGAATCCTCTGAACATGTGTGCGGTCCAGGCTTTGTAAGTCAGAGAAGAGCGGCTGATGAGTATGCCTGGGTTCTCTGAGAGAAAGCGTAGGACTGGAAACACAGACGCAGCGAGCCCTGGAAACCTCACATCCAGCTGGAGGACAGGGAGGAGAGCATCCTCATCTGGATTCAGGGATGCTATGTAAGCCTTTTCCTAAGAAGACCTTTTTTTTTTTTTT